ACCACATCCACCATACTTCGACGAATACTGAAAGTTCCACTTTATCGCTCCTCACCATGAAGAAGTTCGGCTTCGGCAAGAAAGGCGGCGACGAAGGCGACGATGCCAATCGCTCCGCCCTCTTCGGCCGAAAGAGCAAATCTCCTGCTCCGGGCAACGACAATCCCTACGCACAAGCTCCGGCTGGCGGCGATCCCTACGCCCAGGACGCGAATAAGTACGCCGGCATGACGCCCTATCAACGAGCACGAGCCGGTGTGCCCATCAATGGCGGTGCCCCCGGCGGCCTTCCTGGCGGCCCGAGGGCCGGTGCTGGCTACGGTCCCCCGCCACAGCCTGCTGGTGGCTACGGGAATGAAAAGTACGGGGCCGCAGGGGGATACGGGGCGAATCGCTACGACAACAACCAGAACGCCTACGGCGCGAATCAGCGATCAGGTGCCAATGGCGGAGCTCGCGGACCCGGAGGCTACGGAGGTTTGGGCCGGACCAACAGTGACAGCACCGATGCTGTGCGCGACGAGCTCTTCAGCGGAGCTCAAGACAGATACCAGCAGAACAAGCCGCAGGCTGGAGGGTACGGCCAACCGACGACTTCGTCTGGCGCTGATGGGGGATACGGCGGATACGGAGCTCCCCGTGAGCTCACAGCCGAAGAGCAAGAGGAGGAGGAATACCGGGCTACCAAGTCACAAATCAAGGATATCAGAAATGAGTCTCTTCAGGCCACCCAAAGAATGCGTCAAAACGCGAGCGCTACTGAAGACGTAGCCAATGCGACACTCGCCCGGCTTGCTGCTCAAGGCGAGCGTCTGCATAACACAGAAAGGAACATGGACATAGCGGCAAACCACAACAAGAAGGCGGAGGAGGGTGCCAAGGATCTAAAAAAGGCCAATGGAAGCATGTTTGCAGTTCACATCGCCAACCCATTCACATCCAAGTCGCGTGCGGCAGAACGAGATGCGGCGATTCTCGACCGACACCGCCAGGAGCGCGAGGTTCGCGAGGCAACCAGACACGAGGCTTTCAAGTCCAACCAGCGAATGGAAGATACCTTCAGGGAAATGTCGTTGTCTGGTCGTCCTCAAAAGGAGTCAGAAGGACAAACCAAGAAGAATTTCACTTTACTCGACAGTGAAGACGAGGAAGAAGAAGAGAAAGAGAGGGCGATTGATGACAATATCACCGCTATTTCCGGTTCGGCTGCGCGTCTTAACCTGGCAGCCCGCGCTTTAGGGAATGAGGTCGATGTACAGAATGTTCTCATCAACAATATTGCCAAAAAGGTAAGTCTTATCCCTAAACTTGATTTATGTTTTGTGTTGATGCTGAATCATATTTCCCAGAGCGATGCTGTCGACGACGGAGTCAGAATGAACAGAGAACGTCTGAACCGCATCAAGTAGATGGCCAGGAGCCGTTTCCACCAACTACCCATTTGTGAAAATGCCCACAAAGAACATGAAAGAAGAGCATGGTCGGTAACTAAATGTTCTCCAACTTGTAAACTTCATAGGCCGGGGTTTCGTAAGGGTGTGCGCTACAGAGAGCATATTGTCAATCGAAAACAAGAAGAACCTTGAAGTTTAAACTTAATACCTTTTGAGAGCTGCCACAGCGGCTTTGGCAACATTTCTGTCAGAGCATAGGATCTCGACTCGGTACTCCAGGACTCGCTCAAGTTGGTCCACTACACCTGTGTGAGGGTCTGCCCCCGCTGCCGCGACAGGCCTGAATTGGCCTTGGCCGGTAAGTTCGAAGGCCACTTGAATATACTTGCCCTGGTCGTAGGCACCGGCACCTGTTTCGAAGACGGCGTCTTTGGTAGCGACCAAGTGGGAAGCTGTTGGAATGCCAGAGGAGAAAGTCAGCATGCTTTTGTTTTAGTTCGATGATATTCCTAGGCAGACCGAACCTGGCACGGTGTAAATGAGCTTGTAGCGGTCCGCCATTGTCGGGGTGAAGATCGTGTGTCGACGAGAGGATGTCAGACCAGCCTTGCTATGCGAGAAGGCGTGAGCAAGCAAGTGACCTGTATCGGTACGAGTGAGGGGAAACGCTTGAGAGCGACCAAAGTGACGCAATTTGCAATTAGGACACAGTATTTTCGAGGCTGGGCGTCTGACCAACATAATGTATACGGGTAAAGTCAGTTACGATTTGGAGACTTGGCGGGAGTATTTATTTCGCCAGTTGAGAATCAATTACAGGATACCATCGCTTATGTACTGGATAGATTTCTGTCAATTTTTCTCATTTCATACTACCTTATCTAAGAAAGAGGCCTTGGAGGAGACGTTGCGGCCATTGTGATAAGGTGGTCAGGTACCTATGCCAGGTGCCCTGTGTAAATTCGGGGTAGATGTCTAAACAGAAACTCACCGGGTGCGAACCCAAAGCCAGCGGTCTCCCCATAAAAATCTTCTTCTTACCTCTCGTCCACTTCTCACTTATCCGCTGACTACACATCACATCGCAAACTCTGTTAGCAGCTTCAACATGTCATCTATACTGGACGCTGAACGCGCCTCCAAAAAGCGGAAGCTTAATGGCAAAAATACGATCAAGGTTGGCAACAAAGTCATTTCTCTCGAGGGATATCTCAACCCCCCAGCAAAGAAAAAAGAAGCAGAAGTTCAGCAACGTCCAACGGAAGAGCTGCGGTCTATTCAGGATACAGAAAACGATGCCACGCCAGACGCACTGATCAGAGATTCAAATGATTCCCATCAAACAGCCCCGACCTTCATCAAGCATTCGTCGAAAACATCTCAGGATCGAGACAGGCCAAAATTTGACAAAAGAGGCCCAAGATGGAGAGAAGATCCTGCCTTGTTGAAGATCAGGCAAAAGTTACCCATCTGGGCACACCGAGAGGAGATACAAGCTCGGGTGCGCCAGAATGATGTACTCCTTCTCGTTGGTGAAACTGGTTCCGGAAAAAGTACTCAAATACCTCAGTTTCTGGTCAGGGAGCCGTGGTGTAGGAGACAAACTGTCAGTATCGCAGAAGCAAGAGAAGTCAGCGTCGGGGGCATGATCGCAGTCACACAACCACGTCGAGTTGCCGCCACGACTTTAGCGCATCGAGTTTCTCGCGAGGCTGGGACGCCTCTCGGTGAGAGCCGTGACGGACTGGTTGGATACTCAGTTCGTTTCGATCACCAGGTCCCCAAGGGCACGAAGATCAAGTTTCTCACGGAAGGTATGCTTCTTCAGGAGCTTCTGAGAGATCCAGATTTGAAACAATACAGCGCCGTTGTCGTTGACGAAATCCACGAGAGAAGTGTCGACGTGGATCTGGTGTCCGGATTCCTTAAGCAAATCCTGCTTAGTCGCCGGAAGGGCCGCGGCGGCATACCACTCAAGGTTGTTGTCATGAGTGCCACGGCAGATGTTGAGCGCATTCAAAGTTTCTTCTCTGCGAACGGTCCCGAAGAAAAAAGCGGCGGTGACGACTTGGTCGACAACAATATCAACTCTGTTGGAGTACTGAAGATCCAGGGCCGACAGTACCCGGTCAAGACCATACACACACCCCAGCCAGTGCCGGATATTCAGGAATCTCTCTTGAAGGCAATTTTCAAGATCCATATGGAAGAGCCGCTACCTGGCGACATTCTTGCTTTCCTGACCGGACAGGAGGAAATTGAATCCGCGCAGTCACTGCTCGAGGAATACGCCGCAACGCTGGCCTCCAACGTTCCCAAAATCAAAGTTCTGCCCTTGTATGGACAGCTTTCGATGGAAGGACAACATGCAGCTTTCCAGCCTGTTAAGGGCGGGTTCACGAGGAAAATCGTGCTGGCTACTAATATTGCTGAGACGTCCGTAACAGTACCCGGTGTACGTTATGTGGTGGACGGCGGCAAGGCCAAAGTCAAGCAATTCCGCGCTCGCCTCGGCATGGAATCATTACTGGCAAAACCTATTTCCAGGTCTTCCGCCATCCAGCGAACAGGCCGTGCTGGCCGTGAAGGCCCTGGCAAGTGCTTCAGGCTATACACTGAAGGTACATTCAGCACACTCGAGGAAACAGACTTGCCAGAGATCCTAAGGATCGATGTTCTGGGAGCTGTCTTGACGATGAAAGCGCGAGGCATTGATGATATTTTTGGGTTTCCCCTTATGGACACCCCAGATGTGGAAGCCATCGAACGAGCCCTAGTCAGCCTTCATGGACTAGGTGCTTTGGCAGACGACGGCACGATCACTGAGGCAGGCCGCAAGATGGCCGGATTCCCCATCTCTGCGGCGTTTGGTGCGGTGCTACTTGCCTCCGCCAAGCCAGAATTCGACTGCGTCCTAGAGACGATAGACGTCATCTCCTGCATCACGTCTGGTGACGACATCTTCCACCAGCTGCAGTCGGAAGAACAACGCGAAGAAATTGAAGAACTCCGCAAGGAGCTCTACCGCCGGGAAGGCGACATCTTAACATATCTTACCACAATGCAACAATACGCCGCCGAAAACGCCGATCGCATACAGTGGTGCAAGCAGAGAAAGGTCAACATTCGCAACATGAAGACAGCGCTCAACATCCGCAGGCAACTTCGTAGCCTCTGCCTCAAAGAAGGTCTTCTTACAGAGGCTCCGCCGCCAGACCCCCAGCCGTTTACTCCTCTAGCTCCGGAACAGGCCGAAGCTTTGCTCAAGTGCTTCCTTCGTGGCTTCGTGTCCAAGACAGCTATACTGGCGCCGGATGCGAGCTACGTCACGTCGCAAGGCAAACACGTTGTTGCCATTCACCCGTCTAGTGTGCTACACGGACAGAAGAAAGAGGCTATCATGTTCCTTGAGCATGTCTTCACGCAGAAAAACTATGCTAAGAAAGTAAGCATCATTCAAGCCGACTGGATTGTCGAGGCGTTTGAGGGACACTGAGGGACACTGAAAGACGACGATGACGATGCGCAAGGCCTGACTTCTTGGTTTTGTCTATAATTACAAACGAGGGGCAGCCTGTCATACGTTGTAGAGACTCCGCACCGATCAAGCATTTTCTCTCTTCGAAGTGTAGATTTACATAGTTGGTAATACAAACGCGCACAAGTCGCGGCCGTCGCATTATTGACTTGGATGGTACTTCATTGAGGCACTGATATCATGATTGATCCTCGCCCTCTCCTGACTCACGCCGTTCTTTGATTGCCTGCATCAGCTCATAAAGCTGGCCGATTTGTTCGTCTGACAGGAAAACGAGTCGTCAGCCATTGTGAAAGATACCAATGAAGTGAAACTTACCACTCATCTTGGCAACCTTGACGGGGTCAATCTTCTCGCCAACCCACGAGTTGCCCTCGATCTTTTGCGCGTATAATTGCCACTCAGTCAAGAAACCGATCTAGTTCATTATGAAGAAATCATTAGCCAGCTTTTCCCCTTCTTCTTTTCTCTTTAACAATAGTTTTCGCATGCTAATACCCGCTTCAAAACAACAAGCAAGGAACGTACCAAGTGCGCCGGGTTATCTACCGTGCGATGGGCACGAAACTCGGCCTTGATGTACTCATCACCCAGCACTCGCATCTCGGAAGGAAGGTGCTTGCGGTGTGCGCGCAGAAGACGACGGTACAGCGGAATAGGGGGTAAGAGGGCCATCGGCGTTGGCCTCAGGCCGTTGCCCTTTGAGACGGAGGCCGAGGCCATCCTCAAGATCGACGCAGATCGCATAATGCCGTGTTGGCGGTGATGCAGTTTGTAGGGTTGGAGGCTGCGACACTTGAGTGAGTAGAAGATCGCGAAGTCGATCAAATTTAGGACACTAGATCTCGAGTCTGATCATGAGCTTTCGGGCCAATGGCAATGGTCACCACGATGCTGGTTGTTCGAGATACTGGTGAGTAGTGTTTAGGGATTTCGTCATGCGAATCGCCATTTTCCCCTGCGATATCAGTGAGATGATCCATACAGTGCTCAGAATTGATTTTGCACACGGTACCTCGGACAGCTGCATGCGTGGGTATTCCTGCAGGTCTCTGTGTAGGTATGTTCGCACTGACTGTGTCTTCTGAGGCCGTTGAAGAAGGGGCTATTCCATAACACCGAGATCTCGATTTGATATTCTGAAAAGCAATTGGTATTTATAGAGTGATGATTTTTTTCCGTTTTGATATGTCATTAGTTATGCATCTTCATTATCTTCTGCCTATTTAGTGGCACAGAGGCACAGCAAGACGCAAAATGGGCAATGAGTTGACCTGTTATGCGACAGTCTGAACCAAGGTTGTGATACACAATTCGCCTTGGATGATCGCGTACCTTCGTTGGATCATATTATGGGAAAGTTCCCTCAATTTGACGAATGTATTTTACAGATGATACTCACAGAGACGCTACTAACAAAGTAGCACATCGCCTCGGAATTCATCGATTTAAGTCTATGGCCCTTGGTTTCGTGCAACCCTCTCTCTCCAGGAAAGCAAGCTTTTGGCGGCAATCTCCTTGAGTACAGGCGTGTCGAATTCTAGCTCCAACTTGACAGAATAAAATCTCCATCCACTTGGACGCATGATGCCGCCAGCCTGGAAGTCCTCCATCCCAAGAACAGCATCATCATCCTTTAATCTCTTTAGCACTTTCGTCGTCCTCATTATAAGAGGATGGTGCTTGTCAAGGTTACCCACCCAACTTTCGAGGCATTCCTCCCAAAGCCGAGTGGCCTCCTCCGTCTTACCGCGCCGGGCTAAAACGCCCGCCAGCTGATCCATCGTCGCCAGCGTATCAAGATGCGTTCTCCAGAGAACCCTTTCGCTTACCTCTAGAACCTCGCGTAAGATTTCCTCGGCCTCCTCGAGACGTTTCAGATTTGCACAGCCTGTGGCGACGTTTCGCTTCGACTGCAGGGTGATTGGGTTCTCTTTGCCTCTGAGGCGTTCTTCATTGCTTAGAAAATGACACCAGAGTTTGTACGCTTCTTCTTGCATTCCCCATTCCGAATGCAGTGCTGCAAGATTGTTCATTGAGGTCATCATGTTGCGGTGACCCGGTTCGATTTCGTCGTCGCGGATGCAGTGTTCGTAAACTTCCATCTCCAGGGCGACAGCCGTCTCCGTATCGCCTTCTATTCGTAGGATAGTTGCTAATGTTGCCAAGCCGCGGTGGTACCATTTAGATGTCCACCCCTGTGGCTTTGCTATCTTCATAATGGTTTCTAGCAAGATTTTGGCTTGCAAGTATCCTGCCTGGATAATAAGCAACTCTAGCCAGTCGAATTCGATGTTGAAATGTTGCCTGGTGACTTTGGTTCTGTCAGGGCATTCCGGAAGCAGTTTTAAGATCGAACAGAAAATTCTGTCGGACTCTCGTAGCCTGCTAGAGAGGCGATACACTTTAGCCAGATCCCACAATGCCGCTATGTTTGCCCAGTCATTGCAATCCAATTTTTCTTGCCTGTCGGCAACGATCTGCTCCAGAACTGCGGTGGCCTTGTCCCAAAGTCCCAGGTACGCAAGTGTTTGGGCGAATTTGCCTTCTTGCTCCGTTCGTCTCATCCATTCGATATCCTCCGAGCCTCCATGGTCGAGACATGCCTGCAAATGTGTCAGCACCTGGCCGGCAAAGAGCTCTTCGATGAGGCGATTGTTTCTCCCGACGGAAAAGAAGAGTATCTCGCGGGCTGCTCTACGTTGGAAGACCAGCATTTCTGGCTTCATTCGGTCTCTAGCCCAAGAGTGTACCAAAACATGCATAGAGTACGATTCATCGTTCAGGAGAGAGTTCTTGATCAAAGAGTAGCTCCTCAACATCGCAATCCCGTCATTGAAATTTGTCGAATCCCAGTCACCTTCTTCTGTGAGGTCGAGCAATGGAACTGGCGCAATGCTACCCTCTTCACCGCTTATGAAAGTCGTCTCCAGCTGTTTATTGGTGGCTGCTCTACTGAGGATATACGTCGTTATGTCCTCATTGTGGTAGAAGCAGAAGATGTTGAGGATGCGAAGGGCATTCAGAGCAGCCTGGCCCTTCCGACCTTTTCCCACTGACTGCATTTTCAATGCATCATACGAGAGCTCGAATGTACCGTATACAGCTGGATTGTGCTCGAATACTCCTGGGTACAGAGGCGGGTCCCCTAGTATGTCTTTTCGGCGTTTCCGGAAGTTGTCGAGGTAGTCTCTGAATGAGCACTCTTGAATACAAACGAAAGAACCGGCCTGGTCGATGGCCAAGGGGAGATATCCAAGCTCGTGAACGATTTCCTGCCCGTACTTGTCGTCATCATCTTCTGACTTTGCCTGTTGCCTTTGCGACGCGCGGAGGAATAGTGTGACTGCATCTTCTGCGTCCATGATGTCAATAGGGATTGTTTGGTTGGCGTCCAGGATAGGTGACATGTCTTTCCGTCTGCTGGTGAAAAGGATATTTCCAGTGTTTCCCGGAGGAAGAAAGTTGCTCACGTCGATTGTGTCGTTGTTGTCGAAGACAAGAAGCCACTCTTCAGTTTGATTTTGCGCCAACCAATTCTGAACTCTCTTGATGCTAGGCTTGCTAGCTTCTTCGCCGAAAATCTCAGCTGTTAATGATCTGAAGCTTTCAAAGATAGAATCTTCGGTGGCGGCGTTTATCCAAAACACACGATCCAATCTAAGATATGCCGAAATAAGTAAGCAAACTCAGACTTGAGATGAACGTCACGCCACGTACCTCGAACCGTACAAGTCTCTAAATTTGAGGGCAATTTGCGTCTTCCCAACTCCACCCATGCCCCAAATTCGGAGGTGTCTTCTAGGCGACGAACCGGAGGGGCGTTCGTAAAAGTGCCGCTCCATCTTGCTGAGTATGTCCAGTCTACCAGTGAATTGAGGGCTTGCAACGCTGTTGATCCGAACCTCTTGCTGAACTGCTTGCTTCGAGGCTGCCTCGGATACCGCATGGCCTACTATGAGTCAGTCACTGAGCAGATCAGTTCAGTGAGGATTCTTACATGCGACATCAAGAGACAGGTTGATACCCTCCTTCTTGTATAACATGCTGACGATTTTGTCGATATTGGCGGAGACTTGAACGTCTTGTATGTACCTCTCCGTTGCCGCCCGCAACAGCCCCATTTTCTTATATTCATTCAGCTTGATATCTGCAGCACCCCGGTCCAAATTCAAGCGCCAATATGCGTAGGGTGTTTTCTGGAAACGCTGCTCTAGGGCTTGGTGCTCGGGCTCGGAATCAGTCAGCGATGCTTTGGCATGCTTGAGAATCTTTATCGTGCCTCTTGAGAAGAGGGCGCCGCTGCCTTTTCTGGCCACGACTGGACGATCTACAGGCTGTCCTTGAGGAACTACATTGACTTTTTTATCGGAGACTTTAAGTCCGGTGCCCAAGCTGAGAAGAAAGCCCAACGTCCTCCTCGGGCCGAAGTAGGACTCGGCCTCACTCAACACAAGGCGAGCCGGGTTGTTGTAGGTCACGGCACCGTCGATGTACTGGTCCCTCTCCGCCTCGACTTCAATGGAGATTGGGTGGAAGAATGTCGGTGCCGCTGATGTTGCCCTTGCCGCCTCCCAAATTTCCACATTGTGAGCGCAGTTGCTGCTCCCTTTGTACGTTCGGAAAAGGTAGGCTGCGTAGGCGTCATACGTGGCTGAGCAGACAAAAGTGAGCCCCTTTTCCCTCGTGTCGTCGAGCATCGTGGTCTTTGCGAGCTTCTTTTTGGTTACATTGTCTTGTATGATCTTGACGAGTGTTTCCTCTTTATAAGTTCTGTTCCACCACCACCTGCGGTTCTTCTTTCGAAAAACGTACTTTGCAAAACTTTCGTATGCGTTGATGGCTTCCTCAGTCGACATACCCATGCGACCTAGCATGATGGCAATGAGTCTTTCCAATGATCTGCTGTTAGCGGAACTTTGCCAGACGGTGTATTGGAAAGACCAACTAACCCCCCAGTACTTGTGCCACCCATCAAATGGAAATAGTCCTGAGGCTTGGGTAATTCTCTGAGTCCTGCCACCTTCTGTAGCCGCTTCATGATCTCGTGTAGTATGACGAGTTCCGATATCCCTCTGATGCCTCCACCGTCTGCCTTGTGTTAAATAAGGCCTCATAAATGACCAAGGAGCAACATACCCAAAGACAAAAGATAGAGTGGCTCATCTTGGCTCATCTTGTGACAATCTAGAACAAAATCCCAAGCAGTGTATGACCAAGAGTGAAACAATGAAGTCAATATAAGAAATAGTGAATAGGTCAATAAGGATAGCGGTTCCCGGCCTTCGAGCCAGGCAAATGCAAAACTTGAGCACTCAATAGGAAACCAAGGTGAGGGTAGTGGCCTTTCTTCAATAAGTCCAGTCGGCCCAACCAACATCTGGGCAGTGCAAATACCTGCCTGAAGATCAAGCCCATGGGAGGGGCCTTCTTTGGAATCCGCCCCGATGCATTATGCATGCTAAGCGCCCAACACTCGCCAGGATATGGAGCAGACATGGTCACACACACACACACCAATAGGCCTGCGATCTCTCGTCTTGGTTGCCAACACCGACTTTTCGACATGCATATTTCATCGGCTGACCACTACTGGAGTTGACTTGTCTATGTATGGATGTAGCCAGACGCAGGAAACCTGGGAGCCTGTGGCAACCCGGCGGAGTGTTTAAATGTGCGCCTCGGTTGGCAGGCTTGACAGCAACTGTTACATTCGCGCAGCAATCGTCAGTCTGCCCTCCTGCAGACCCTGGTGGGAACGGAGGGGCGCAGCATGCTGCCAACATACGTGACCGAAGGCAGAACGAGATGGACTGGGAACGACATTTAGGAGGCGAACCGCGGATTTCACTTGGCAATCTGGATCAGGAATTGTTCTTGAGAAGTGGTTCAAATTCCATAAATGAGGTGAAAGATATGTGGTCAGATATCTGTAGGAGTCAAAAGTCAGGAGGAAGACGAGACTCGGAGTTGGTTGGTGCATGATCCTAAGCGCCGGCCTTATGGAGCGGGTCGGGCCACTGAACGGGGTGGCGCTACGATGATCGACTTGAACCAACAAACTACGTGCCAACCAACCATTTCTCATGTGGAACCATCAATCCGGCTGAAACTTTACTTTTCAAGTAGTCGAGAAAAAAAAGCCTTATAAAAGTACTGTACATGAGCTGGGCAGTTCGGAGAGTGTAGAAGGCTAAGCTGCTTGCTCTTCGGCTCACCGTTTCGTCAATTTTGTCTCAATGACGACAGGCGTCATTGAGCGATGTTATTTGAGGCTTTTTTTTAACTAAGCAAGATCTTACGGTACCCAATTTCTATCAAAGAGGGACACTAGAGTCCACAACGTCACTCATGCCATTAGGTCTGGCGAAACTGATAATACCAGCCGAGACTATTCCTCGATGTCAACTCACACTAGACAACTCATAGGTTTGTACCAAAGCATGTCTAGAGACTCGACAGGTGAGACTGTCGTCCTAGAATTGTCCTGCAGTAGGGGACAACATGAGCGCGCCTCAAAGAAACCGGGTGTAGAGCTAACAGCATACACCTTGAGAGTCTGAAATCCGATCTCCATCAACCTCTTTCAGTATAACACTGACGTAATGGATTAGATGTGTCTGTTGCAAAATAGACTATCGCCCTTTTGATGATACTCTTGCTCTAAAACCGAAGACTGTACTCTCCGGCATCCCGGCCGCGTGGTTTCGAGAAGACGGAGTTGTCAATAGTCTACATTAACTCATCGTACTCACTCGAAGCCATCCTAGTTACTCGGTTATAGTATCATGACGTGCCAGAGCGCAACTCATTCAGCAACAGTCTTGTATTGCTTGATTTCATTCGACGTGCAGCGTTGAACTATTTCCAGCCAAGTCAAATTGTAAGGCAAGCTACTGGAGGCTTATAGATTAGTATTCCCGCCCCCTCGATGGCACTCGTTCTCTAAGACGGAGAGCATGTTCCATTATACATCAAGCCAAGTATGAACTGCTTCGTCTTAGAAATTTCACCCTTAACCAACACTCCCCCTCACCCCCACTATCGAGCTAAATGCCTTGGAATCAGCAGGCATTCACATCACCCAGTTGCCTCAGTACAAGTTATCACTTACATTAAGACGACGCCAGCGCAACGAAGACTTTCAACCCAACGACCCAAGACGGCGCCGTTACCAACTAGCTGGTCGGGCCTTCGCATCTTCCGCGAAAACTCTGCATAACCAGGCAGCACACAGCTGGACTAGGGGAAAATTGGTCACTTGGTTCCGGGGGCTATTATCAACGTAACCAACACTCGGCTATGCCGCACCAAGTCGCCTGGACATAACCACTCAGAGGCTCAGCATCCGAGACATTGGATGACTCCCGCAGGCCGCGGCTCCTCCGACTTAAGGAGAAAAAAACAGGGGTCTCACTTGACGACTCGAAGCCCAGGTAGCAAGTCGAGAGCAGCAGGGAAAAGCAATAATGGTATCAAAAAGTTCAAGCGCTGTTCCTGTATGTGTGTGTGCCACACGCCATTCTGGTATTAGACTCGCTTGAATCGTCAAGCACTCAAATCGGCTTCATCATCCATCATGCATAGAACTAGACCCATCCCAGAAATCAACGCCTGCAAACCACCCAGAAAGTGATGCCACTGAGTACAAGATCCAGCCGTCTATCCCTGTCTATGTACAAGGCAATGTTGGCCCCCGTGGCCCCCGCCGCCATATTCAGGAAGGCGGCGCTCCAGCCTTGAGCATCGCCATCTCCGGCACCGTGAACCCGTTGCCCAAGTATGCGAATCGGTTCTGCTTCGCATTCTCATACGTGTACTCCCAGTCCTCACCCCTGAACCGGTCCAGCAAGCGGATGAAGTGCATACGGCTTCCAGGATACAGGCCTGTCACAGGGCCGTTGACCTCGCCTTGCTTATACCAAGATCTGCATCCGCCTGCAAAGACTGTGAGAGGCATAATGGCTGAGATGTGCTCAAAATAGTCCTCCACGGCCGCTTCAGACGGAGCGATAGTCCGGACGCCTTCTGTCTGGCATTTGAGGATAGTATTGGCGATGTAAGTGGCAATGTGCTCGCTAAGCGTAAAAATATCACCCTGCACAACAGGTGCATTAGGCCCGAGGAACTCTACAGCAAGCAGGATGGTCAGCTTCGAAGCGGTGAGCGTAAGGGAAGCCCGACTTACTGAAGAAGTTTGGCAGACCTGCAACGGCAAGGGACATGTATGCTTTGGGTGTTTGCTCGGACCAGATGTCCTGCAAGTTGCCGTGTCGACCGACTAACGGGAACGATGGGAGGAACGATGAGTCGAAGCCAGTGGCACAGACGACAACATCAACTTCGAGGGTCTCCCCAGTGACCAGCTCTATACCATGGGGCACAAATCTCTTGATGGCGTCGGTGTGAAGGGAGACCCGGGGGTCGTGGAACGATTCGAGATATCCAGGGGCGGGAGTGAGTCGCTTGCATCCAAGGGGAAAATCGGGTATCAGCTGCTTGCAGAGCTTCTCATTTCCTTTTAGCATCGCCGTCATGAATTCCTTGGTCTTTCCCAGCGCCCATGTCTGTTGAGGGCTTCCCGCAATGAGAGAGATGGCGAACTTGATGTTGGAGTCCATCTCGAGAGTCTTTGTAAACTTATTGTAGAAGACTGGGTCGTTTTTGAACTTTTCAATCGTCGTCGCTGAGAATCGCTCGTTCTCGTCCATCTCAATTTGGTTAAGGAGAGCTGCTGAAGGCCCCATCTTCATTGTGGCAACACGAGGAGGGATAATCAAGGTGGGCGTCCGAATGATGTGGTGAAGCTTCTTCACGTCTGCTTGTTGTAAGCTGGCTGCATTGCCATGATAGGGGTGGGATATACTCACGTGGCCTCATTGCTGGAACAATCTGGACACCGGACGCACCATTTCCAATGACTGCTACCTTCTTGTTTGTATAGTCAAAGTCCTTCGGCCAATTTGCGCTGTGAATAAGGGCACCCTCGAAACGCGCGATGCCTTCCACGTCCGGAAATCTCCATTTACTAGGCAAGTTAGACGTTAATATAGTACGCAATTCGAATGGCAATGTACATACTTCAAGATACCAGTTGCGTCAATAAGATAGTTGGCATAATCTTCAAAGACGGCGCCAGTCCCCAAGTTCTTGATCTGCAACTCCCACACGGCCTTGGACTCTGACCAAGCCGCCCCGATGATCTGGTGAAAAGTCTTGATAAAGGGCCGCAGCTTCTCTTCGTCACATATCTGGCAAAGGTAGTCCTCGATCTCCGCCGCGGGGGCAAAGAAGCTCGACCAGGCCGGATTTGGTCTCCAGCTGAACTGATAGTTGTGGCTAGGCACGTCGCACTTGCACCCGGGGTACCGGTTCTCGAACCAGGTACCCCCGACATTCTCGTTCTTCTCGTAGACCACAAGCTCGTACGTCGAGGGACCGAGGGTGTTTTTTAGGGTGCGTATCAGGTTGATCCCGCTCGCACCGGCGCCGATCCCGATGATGCGAATGGGCTGCGGAGTCCCGAGCGGTGCTTCCTTCACAGTGTAGGCAGTATTGGTGCGGGTAGGTTGACTGGATCCGCTACCCTGGGCGTCGACATGACGAGATAGTTGAGGGAGTTGCCGTGTCATTGTGAAAAGTTGCTGGTTTGTGTGCCTGTAGAGCTACCTAGGTACAGAATCGAGAGGAAGAAGAGACCGGTTTATATCTAAGTTGAAGTTGCCAAGGGGTGTTGAGTCCCGAGGAAGGCGCCAGCGAGTGGCTGCAAGGAATCTCTTTCCGAACAAGCGCCTTTCTCCTGCTCGCTTGGTGGAGATACGGTTGAAAGAGAGGATGCGGGCGGTGACTGTGGACTTTTGGCAGGTGTAGCGCGGCGACCTGTCACGGAGACTAGCCAATAATTGTAAAGGAGCCTCTACCATGGAAGAATGGGATGAGACAACCCGGAAAGGGTCAGAGAGGAAGAAGCAACGAGTGAATCCGCTGGCGCGGGAACCAAGAGACGTTGTCCTTGTTAGTGACAGGCAGCAGAATCCGAGGTGAATTCTACCATGATTCCGCGGCTAACACCAATAACCGCACCACCTTAGTGTGGGAGCTACGAGCTGACGCAACACAGCTTTCTTGTCAAGAGGCATACCTACATGGACTTTGATGATGCAAAAGAGACAGCTCACATGAAACCAAATGGTGGACTCTACGGATAGAGAGGCGCCAGTGGGTACGGGTCCTCTCAATTGGGGATTGGTTCATGTCGTAGGAGCCTGGGAGGGGTCTGCACCGGGCATCACTGTTGGCCGATTTACGACGGGCAGTTTATCAATCTTGGCTGGTGCAACGGCACATGGTGTGGCTGCACGTATCCAAACGACTTTGGAACAAGGCTGGTCCATGGGCAGAAGAATTGAACAAAATGGTTTGTCTGCACGTCTGCTAGCTCGTTGCGGTCAAGCAAGGTCCGATTAGCAAGAAAAGGGTCCCGGGCTGGACCAGGTCGTAAACCATCCAACCACGGCGGGAGGAGGGGAGAACCGGGCTGAGGGGTGTTCATGGCATGGATCCAAGTACGGTGAGTGGCGAATCACGACTCTTGCCGCACTGGAGGATGGAGGCTTGGAGCCGGAGCGGGATCGTGGTGAGTGCCGCGGACGGGGGGCGATATGGAGCGCAAACCGGGGCAAATCTACGGATAGAGAAGCTGCCAATTTTTGATGTCTGACCCTGGCCGTTCCCTGAAGGCAAAAGACACTGCGGTCCTGAGGTTGAGGTTGAGGATGCTTTGGCTTCCGACCGTTCTGTCAGCTTCATTCATCCCTTGACGACATCCCAGCTGACAAAGAACCGAAGAACGGGGATATGTGAAGCCCTGATGGGTGGATCGCCGAGAGAAGGAATCACGAGTGCCGGGTCCATTGTCGATCGGCCGTGGGTACGTCCGGCGCCGCATGGTAGAGATGGTGGGATGACGGGAGGGGGGCGGCATCCTCGCGCGTTTGCTGACCACTGAGACACGAGATCTCGTTTGAAGGAGCACAAAGCTCGAGATGCACCAGATCCTCCGGGTCTTTAAGATGCGGAGATGTGTGTCTGTCTGGCAGGCATCTGCAGCTGAGCCCATGAACCACTGCGGCCACGGCCTGCAGGTTTGTCATGGGCTCATGGTGCCATGAACGGCCGCTGGCTCTTCAGCTTGCGGCTTTTTTCCATCTACCTTATGTGAAGAGCGAGCGCAGAGGGTACAGCAGAGCATGCGCGAGAGACGCAGTCAGAGACGTGGGAGGAATAGGCTCAGCTGCGGATCATTTCTCCGAACGCCAGTCAGCCTATTAAAGTTGCAGCTTTCGCTTTCGTCCTCGCCTTCGCAGCAGCCAGCAGCCAGCAAAGCATGGGTGTTGGGCTGGGGGTTCAGGATGTAAGCACGAGATCCGAAGGCCGAAGGGGAGGCTCCGTGGCTCCGTACAGGTACATAGATATGAGACAATCGCTCAGTTGTGATGCCTCCTCCCTAGTCGCCGCACTGCATGAAACCTCTCTGAGAAGTTGCTGATTATTGGTCTCTTTGCGACCAAGCAAGTGCCCAAACATGCGGCGGGCGGCGTTGGTGCAGAATCAGAAGAGTTTTCGAATGATAAAGCGCCGATAGGGAAGAACTTCTGGCAAACAAAAAGCAAGCATACCCATTTCTTGGCCACCGATGACGATTGGCTTGATGGGGGACTCGGCCAATTGATAGTTGGCAACTCTCTAGGTGCCTTGGATATGCGAGCAACAAGAAGACGTTATGTTATGGCCGAAATCTTGCTGGTGGCAACGGTTTGAAGCCAACCTTGGACTTGTTGTGAGCCCAATTTAAAACAGTTGACTTCTTTACTAGACAGGCACCAGCAACGCAAGCTGGATTCAAGCTTAATCGACCCACTGCACCAAAAGACCTCTCACATCTGCAAGCCACCAAGTCATTTGAGTGGCCTGAGATATCCGCTGTTGGTTTTCCGATTCGACAAACACACCCGATGAGGTAGCTTGCCTCGGTGAGGTTCCAATAAGAGACTGCGTTTCGTTTTGTGTGTGTGTGAGTGAACCCGCCCCCACATTTTTATAGTCTCTTTCTTGGGTAGGTATCCGTAGGGACTCAACTCACTCATCTTTTGCAGAAAGGTACGTACAAAAACCCTGCAAAATCACGCGGCATTTCCCACCCTCGAAAAGAAACATGGCATCATTCTCCTTCGGATTCGGCGGCGATGACATAGAGGACGACTCCGTTCCCGTCCCGGCCGCCGAGGCCTCCGCGCCCGCCGCCCCGGAGCCCGAGACCCCGCAGTCCGCCGCAGCAGCCAGCGCCTTTCCGGTCCCCGGCAAACCCCAACTGCCGCCCACCGCCCACGACCTGCAGGACATGCTCTCCAAGCTGCCCTCAAAGGTCGCCTTCGGCAACCTGGACGTCACTCTGGACGACGGCAGCCTCATCAAGATCCCTCGTCGCGAGCTCTGGGATGTGCGAGTGCAGCTCATGGCCGAGGATGAGGCCGCTGGTGACGGTGCCGATGCCGAAGGCCTCGGCAGCCACGATGTCAAGACGGGCGTCTACGAGGGCGGTTTCAAGAGCTGGGAGAGCAGCGTGGACCTCGTCAAGGTTCTCGCCAGTGGCCAATACTTGGATCTGCTCAAGCAACGGCCTCTCCGAGTGATCGAGGTACGAACATCTGAACACCTGACGCGCGTTTCTATTTTTCTTTTATTTTCATGTCTTGCTGGCTCAAGTGGCGAACCGAAAGCTAATCCACCTACGCGCAGCTTGGATGCGGCACAGGGCTCCCATCGCTCGCTCTTTTGCAATGGACCATGAGGAATCCAGCGCCGAGATCGCCACTTGTGCTGACCCTGGCCGACTACAACCCGACAGTTTTGCAGTTGGTCACGTTGCCTAACTTTATCCTCGCTTGGGCTCTGGAACGCAGAGAGCAGAACGCCGCCCTGGAGGAGGCCTTTGCGATGGGAGACGAGCTCGAACTCACACCAGAGGTCTTGCAGCAATTCAAGGAGTTCCTGACGTCTTCCCAAATCTCTCTCAATTTCATTTCTGGTGGCTGGTCAGTGGAGCTTGTTGATCTCCTCTATGAGACTCAGTCCAAGCTGGACGGGTCCAGCAGTTTTGATACCCTTCTTATTGGAGCGGAAACCATCTATTCGCCCTTCGCACTCGACGCTTTCAATGAGATGGTCCTTGCCATCCTCAATAGAGAACAGAGCCAACGTAGCAGCTGCCAGTCGCAGGCGCTGGTTGGAGCGAAGCGGCTTTACTTTGGCGTTGGAGGTTCACTCGATGATTTCGTGGACAAGGCTAGGGGAAGAGGAGCAACGGTGACTCAAGTCAGGGAGGAGGCTGAGGGTGTTCGGCGAGGTGTCGTTCGATGCACTCTGGGCTCACATCGTGAATAGACATCATGCCAGTCAAAGCTACATACCACATAGAGAGGAGGCCTCTCTTGTGAGTTCGCCACCGCCACAGCCATCTAAGCCATTCGTAGACCGGCGCAACAGCATATGTGCATACATGTTGGGCAATGGCCGTGAGTTTGCCGAGTGATGTCTTTTGCTAAAGCACGGGGGGCTTTGCGCCAATGTTAGACAACAGTCTGTCACATTGATGTGGCTTTTCTGAGTCTTTTGAAACTCAAGATACCATGACGATCCAGCCAGCGGCATGGTTTTCAACGTTCAAGGGCCTGTGAATTCTCGTGGGAGACAGTTCCTTTGATCAAGTCACGAGACTGGCGTCTTGGGCAGCGTTTTCAGCGAACGAGACGTATTGGGCCTATTGATCAACGCACGCGGTTGTGGCGTTGCAGAACATTCATCGCCTCAGTCTGACTTTAATGTCCTGACTGAGCTATAAGCTGAAACGGCATGATTGACCAGAACTGATCCAGGCCGGCATTCCCGTCATCGCCGTCAGAAAGTTATACTTACGTCATCTGAGTCGAGCCGAGGAAAACTCCGTGATTCTGGTGCTTTTCCATTCCAGTCGGGTGTCAGAGTGAAACGCCCCCTGGGCGAGCAGGCTTGGTCTATTTCAGCCAAGACCCAAGCACGGCATGGCCATGAAGTGTCATCGCACGGCTGATTGAGGATCGAATTACCTACTGCGAGATCCAAGTACGGAGTAAGTGGCTTGGGTGGAAAAAATGCACAGCATGGATAGATAGCCAAGCCTATCACGGAGAGAGCGACGATGCGACGACCCCAGCAGGTCAAGAGGCTGCTGGTTCGAGCGAGCTGCTGTATCCGATGGTTTGGGCCGATGGCTCTGTCCGGGCTGCATTTTGTGGTAAATATCCGTAAACGACTTGGACTTTGGCAAACTTGCTGAAGGGTTCGGACGACATATTCAGAGCCAGGCGATGCCCTGTCAATGCTGCAGGCTTCCCGTTGTCGGTCATGGAGCCTCTCTGGAGGAGCGCGCACACGCATGGACAGGGTTCCAGTGAGAGTCCTGGGCCAGGGCCGTCAGGCGAGAGCCATTAGTGTCCGAGTCCGTCGATTGGAGGCCAGAAGCAAGGACCATTGCGCAGAATGTAGGTACCATGCAAGCCGTGAAGTAGCGTACGCTGGGGAGATTTGGCCAATGTTGGTCTCCACAACGGGACCCAACGGGGTGTGCATTGGAAATTGGACTCGGTGGGAACTGGGAACAGGAAAACACCATTGGCATAGGCGAGAGGCGAGCCTGACGTCGTTGCATCTTATTCATCGTTCTGAGGAGGCTCCCCGGTCAGCCGAAAGAGAGCGAGATTGCCGCTTTGGCGTAATGATATGATGGGATGCAGCGACTCAGCGAGGCGCGTCGACAAATGGGACGGTAATATATGCAATATGTGTACGCTCCTGGCTCCTACAGGCTCCGCGAGACTTTGGAGTTTGGACCGATGGGGCGGGATCGCAACTTACGGCACGGATCAAGTGGGTGAAGGCGCGAGTGAAATCTTTTCCCCAGAGGCCCTCGGTAGATCCTCATCAGGCGATTCGTAGCCTGCCACGCCTTCTCCTAGGCTGTCCTGGTCCGTATTAGGGGATTGTCCCATTCCAGATTGATGTGCGTCTGACTGTCCTTGCGAAACGGTACGGACACCAGTATTGCTTGATTTTCAGAGTAGCGTCTTGGTGAACCAAAGGAAAAGGAACTTGACACGCTTGAGTATGTCAGCAGCAGCAGATCTGCTGTCTCGCGCGTCAGTTATGTTGGTGCTCCCACCCAAACACAACACTGTGAGGAACGGAGCGTACAGGCATGTTACTCTGCAGACGAAGCACAGATCTCGGACGATTGACGACGAAAGTGTCCCAACACATCAAGGCTGGGCGTGTAAGTGCCGATGCTATTTTCGAAGTCTTCTAAATGCACAAGCACAGAGCATTCTGCACAGATTTTCTCGACGGATATACCACTCGGACAAGCCACCTTCATGAGCATCCAGCATCCGTAGGCGTCGTCACCTTCAATAGTGTAATGGGGGAGCCTTGAGCTGTCATTGCCAACTCGGATCGATGATGGGATCGCAGGCGGCTCGTGACTGGTCCGCGGAAAGTAAAGTTTTGCCGTGGAGAAATGGAACACGAGCTGGAAGGGAGGGTGGAGGGATGGACGCTGTTGGTTGCGCACGCAATCACAGGCTGAGCCGGGCGTCAGCGGCAGCGGCAGAAGCATTCGCACATTCCCATGGGGGGCGAAAAGGGCCCTCGCTGCGATTCAGTCCAATGCGAACGGGGGGCTTCGGAGGAGGGCGGCCGTTGGAAATGTGCGAGATGGAGAAGTCTCTCTCACTCTCCCTTGCTGCGCCTCCAGAGACCCAGATCGACAGGAACCTTTCCCCATTGCCAGACCAGAACGAATGTACCCACCGCTTGTCGGGACGTACTGTGAAGGGCAGTGTGACCTGTTTGTACCCATCCGATGGTGAGAGAGTCAGTGACCAGCGGAGGGGTTTTTGGGGTCTCTTCGCGTCTTGGGCCGTTCCAGCGGGTTCCAACGTGGTGTCACCTGCTGTGGGCTGGAAAGCAGGGAAGCGAGATGGCATGGCATGTGGAAGATTGTGCCATTGCTGGGCGCATTGTTCAAATTGACGCCAGTGACAGCCCTGGGTCCCAGGACAGAGTCCCAAAGTCCCAGGCGAGAACCGTTGAGGTCCAGACCTCTTCCAAGTTCCCTGCTGTTGCCTGAGCTGGTCGTGATCCTCCCATCGCCCCGGCCGAAAAGGCCCAATAAGGAGCCTTGGGCGACTCCGGGGACACAAGCTAGGAGTACCAGGGGAGTTGACGGCTGCATCGGGGGGACTGTCCAGTGGTCGCACGTAGTTGAGAAATCGGACATCGCCTTGGAGTATCCGTAAGCTTGGAGGAAATCTACCCAAGTTACTGTGTAAGAATACCATACGGTCGTCTTAGAGTTGCTACCTACCTTGCCTGCCTGAGGTTGAATGAAGGGTACCGGACGACGGCGTGCGGATGAATGGTGAATTGAGTAAAGGTAAAATTCGCAGCTAACCTGGAACACCAACACTAGTAAGCTGAAGCTGCTGCACGCAGTCGTAGCATTCTACGGCAGAAGAGGAGGCCACTGGGAGTAGCAGAAAGAAGTCATGCCGGACGTTGGCCAGCACCAAAAACAACCAAAGGACAAGAACCTGAAGCTTGGTCTTGGTTAGCGCTTCTCCTGGGGTTCGCCAGGTTTCCTCTCTGTGACAGGGGTACCCTCCAAGAATTTTCCACGCTAGTCCAATCTAAGAGCTAGTGCCACCCCTGTTGCCAGGGCTGCTGGAAGAGGTGGGAAGGTACCCGCGCCCCGCTCGTCGTCGTCGCTTCCTTTTCTCATTTGCGACGAATGGCATGCGACTTCCTCAGGTGGTAAGGTACCGCACTACCCTTTCAACACGCTCACCTCACCAGTGTAAGGACCAAGGTAAGGTACCTAACCAAGCTACCTAAGGTACCCTAAGGTAAGGTACCTTAGGTATGTAAGTCCGCGCACCCAGTGGGAGCCGTGATGCCGTCCGCGGCGCCCTCCAGAAGCCTCAAAGTGCGCGCGGTTGCTGTTCATCACCGGCTGTTGCTGCGTTGGGTGCTTGTTATGATGTCGCCATGAGTCCTTCCTCTGTAAGATAGCAAAGAGGAAGGCTCGATCGCGCGCCTGTCTGTTTCAACCTCGACACTTCCTGCCTCTTCTTAAGCTCAAGTGTGCCCATCTTTTCCCACCTGACACTTCATCCATTCCATCACCATCTCAATCCAAACAAACTTGCCTGGTCCACACTACAAATAAGTCCCTCCAAGGTTCCAACACTCTACGCACAACAAGAAAACCAAGAATCACAACCACACCACTCCCAGAATTCAAATTGCTGATCTTCTGGTGCTACTTTCTCCAAAAAGCCAACCATCCATCCGCACACCCCCAGCAACAGTAACGCGTGCGAGTAATTATAGGAAAAGCCCCGTCTAGGTGTTGATGTAAGTCGCATGCCTGCCTGCCTCTCCTCTCCGCCAAACCCGCACACGCCCCCCCTTCCATGCTCTACCCCTGATTCGACTTCGCCTAATTTCGCGCCTGCGCGAGACGAGGAAGCCTTTTTCTACCCAGCTGTCCCCCTCTCCCACCGTTGCCTGTTTCTCTCCCTTTTGTTTCCTCACGAGCCTATTCCCGACATTCGTTGTTGACCTTTTTTGCTAAATTACAGTAGTTCGATACCTAATACTCCTACACTCGTTCATCACTTAATTTTCGAAAAACAACCCAATCCGTCACAATGAAGAGCTTCACCTCTGTCCTCGTCGCCGGCTTCGCTGCCCTGGCCCAGGCTGTTCAGCTTACCAACACCAACTTCAACGTCCAGGCTGGTCAGGCCTTCGAGATTACCTGGTCTGATGCCTCTGGCCCCGTTACTCTCACCCTGAAGAACGGCCCCAGCACCGATCTCAAGACCGTCTCCACCATCGCCAGTAAGTACATCTCGAGTGCTGGTGAGATGTCATCTGATACTAACATCTATTCCAGCTGGCCAGAGTGGTACCTCCTTCTCCTGGACTCCTTCCTCCACTCTCCCCTCCGACCAGTACGCCATCGAGATCTCGGACTCTACTGGCACTCCCAACTACTCTGAGCAGTTCACCCTGACCACCTCCGTCACTGCTTCCGCCTCCGTCTCTTCGGCTTCTGCCTCTGCCTCTGCCTCCGCTTCCGCCACCATCACCACCACCGTCGCTGCTTCCACCATCACCTCCTCCGCTTCTGCCTCCTCCGCCTCCGCTGAGAGCAGCTCGGCCTCTTCCGCTGCTAACTCCACCGCTGCCTCCACTGTCTCTACCAGCACCCGCGCTAGTACTCGTACGTAGACCTCTACTTGAAGCAGAAGAATTTTGACTAAACCATTGGACAGGCACCAGCGCTACCAGCTCCTCCACCAGCTCTCCTACCACCGTTCCCGGCAGTGACGCCGTCCGCATGGGCTCTCCCATTGCCCTGATCGGCCTCACCGTCGCCGCCATGCTCTACTTCCAGTAAACTGGTGGCCAGTGAGGGTGTTTGGGCTATCTCAGCCCAATGACGGGTATATGATGCGAACAAAGGTTTATAATACAGTAATGCGATCCAAGAACGAACAGGACCAGGAGTTGCATTTTAAATGAAGCAAGCGGGTCGAGTTGCAAAACGCTCTCGAAGGACAGGGGATGATTAAGTAAACATTGTATTCGGGCCTATCGGAAATCTTTGGGCCTGTAAACAATCAATTAGCAACTCAATGCGTTGTTGCCTTCTCATATCTTTTAGTTCTGCTGCCTATAATCGTCTCTATTGTGTGACATGGGTAATCTTGACCCCGCGTCTTGACATTACCACTTCAGGTTGCATGCATCGCATGACCGTTTGTCCTCGGTAAGGTGACATTTCCGTCTGCACCTCAAAGTAGTGTCACTCGACCTGCGCCTATCCCACTCGGAAGCGGACATGCCCTGCCTCTAGCATGAGGCTCATATAATGCTGTGCATTCGTACGGCGACTTATTGTCATACTCTCGAAGACAAACAATAAGTTATCATTCGTTGGGACCGTCCACATAAAACTTCAACGTCTTTCCTGCCCAACGTCCATAATGTAAAGTAAGGTAGGGATTTTTTTTTATTCAAAGGCATAGCCCATTGGCTTTCCCCAGAGAATAAAGCTGTTTCATCCTCGATCTTTCTCGACCCAGATCAGTGGTTCATACAGCAGACCAACCCCACGTGGAGAAAAAAAAAAGGAGAACGAACGTGTGCAGACTCCAGAGCAGCTGACGTGGAGTTCAAAAGAAAAAAGGGGCTCCGTCCATTGGAAGGGAGAAAAGCAAGAAACCCGCCCAGACAGAGCCGCGCCTGCGATCGGCAAGTTCCCAGTGCCTCGCCCCGCTTCATGGCAAGGACAAAGGAGAAGACAAAACAAGGACCTCTCGTTCGACCGTTCCTGTCGATCGCATGAGCCAAAACGTGTAGTTTAATCGGTGGAGAAGTATAAACCCAAGCAGAGAAACATCCAATGAATTGAGAGGAGTAGAGATTGGATGTTAGGTAGAGTACGACGGACCGGACAGAATTCGAATGTGGATGGTATTTTCTGTAATTGCTATGACTGGCTGACTGCGGACTTCTCGATGCCTCTTCATTGCGCGTGTGTATGAGAAAACAAGACATTGCTCAGAATCCTTTGTACAGTCTTACTGTGTCACCGAATGAGAAATTGGCAACGGTCCAAAATTGCGATACAACGGGAAAATGCAGCGGTGGCGCTCCTTTTTTGGGCTTCTATGGGGGATAGTTTCTGCGCAACTGGAAAAAGCAGAAACGAGCTTTAGATGCGGCAAGTAATGTTGGTATTGATACATGACGGCCTCAAAGGCGACTCTTGGCTGCGGCCTTCGAGTCATCCGACGCAATGAGAACGAGAACGCAAATGTCGTCAATCTTGCCGCCGTGCCAGTTCTCCTGCGGGTAATACTTCTGCACTCCCTTGGCGAAGGGACCGTCGACGTTGCGGTTGAGACTCGCCGACTTGGCGGCGGACGTGATTTCCGCCGCGAGCACGCTCTGCAAGGTAAGAAACTTTGAGGACGGTCGCTCTGAGGCGTCTTCAGCGGGTTTTGTAAAGGGCTTGAGATTGTCGACGACGCGGACGCCATTCTTCGTCATGAGCCATGCGCCTGTCGTGGTCATGACATTGCTAACAATACGGAGGATGTCCTGGTTAAACAGGTTGTCCCATACACCGTCGGTTGCGAAAACGATAATATCGCCGTGGCGGAGGTCATGGCGAGTGACGTCGGCGTCTTTGGGGAAGTCGCATAGGTTCTGGCCACCGAAAGCTGCCATCCGAGCGGCAACGCTGGGAGGCACGATAGAGAGCTGATAAGGTGTATTGAAGGCATGCGTTTGGGGTTCGGAGTAGGTGTGTACGGCGTTCAATCGGAGCTGGATGAAGCCAGAGTCGCCCAGGTTGGCAATGTCGAGGTTGCCGTCTGGGGATGCAACAGCAACGCACGCTGTGCTGCCACCAGCAATGACGGTGCTGTCCTCATTGATCGCCTGGTATCCCTTTTGCATCAAATCTTGCGCTCTGAGCGGCTCCTTGTCGCCCGTGCCCTTTGTGGTCGGGTCGTCTTTGACCGAACCATGTCCGTAGGCTGTCGAAGCCATGTAATCGCAGAAACCGTGTGAGAAATCCGCCGGATCAACACCAGAATCTACCCAGCCGCCGACGCCATCAGCCACACCGAGGGCTACTGCGCCAGAGTCGCCGACTCGACTGACGAAAAAGGCATCGTGTCCGCTGTCTGGTCTGGAGCGTTTGCTACGGTTCTGCTGGATACGGTTGTAGGGATTGAAGTGAAAGACGTGCGTGGATGGGTCGTATGGATGGTCTTTCGCGGTAAAAGATGCAGCAACGTGGTAGGATAGCTTTGCAGCTGAGTCGGACTTCATGCTTCTGGCTGTTGAGAAGTATCGCGATGAGATGTTCGTCGGAGGGGTCGACCGTTGTCGGGCGAGATACTTCGAGAAGCTAATGGATGCTAAGGAATAATCAGTACGCGAGTTTTAGAATTCGATGCAAAGCAAAAGCATACCTTGTGATAATGGCCTTGTGGCAGGGAGGAGGACCAGAGGCTGGCGCAATACTGTCACCGTTGCGGCCATTGCTTCCAATGTGCTGCGATGTAGAGTGTTTCTTGGAGATGCGGTGCTTCCGCAGTCCGCATATTAACCGTATCAATTGCTGGTTAGAAATGCGACTGGAATCACATAGCTAAACTGCGGACCCAAGATATTTCGTAGCTCGAGACGCTTCTTCGACACGAGCACTTTCGCAACGTCAAATGGACAGACGACTTGTGATAGGTAGTCGCGTCTGAAAGGG